AAGAAGGTCTAAAAGTTAAAATTTGAACGTTGGAAAAGTTGAAATTTTTAGCCTTGTTTTCGCTGCGAAATAGCGTGCACAAATAACGTTGCCCAGCACTATTTTACCACCTTGTTACCTACGGTTCGGGTTACGTTTATCAGTGTTTTTTTCTTGTTTGTAAAAACAGAGATATAGAATTTCAAGCAAGTTTATTGAAAGAAATTTCATGAAATTCCGTAAAGTTCTTTGAAATGTCTGCAATGGACGGAGAATGCTATTAAATGCATAGAAACTTACTTTCCAAAGTTAAAATAGAAATATCACGAATCGAACTTCTATATCAATTTGCGGATAATTGTTGCAGACTGCACACACAGCACCTAAAATCTCTTTGAAAATTCATGAAAAATGAAATTTGTGTTTGCATCTTCCTTTTCCTAGGATGCAGTGACTCATAGTACACTTAGATTTAATTTATTTGTAGGTAGTTCTGTTATTATAAACTGCGTTCATTTTGCCTCTCGCGGAAAGGCCGGCTCTCACTCAGTATCCAAAGCGAATGCATCGGGTGAGCTATTTGTATCAAGTTCAGTAGAAATGCAGAATTTTTGTTGCTTTCGGACGGAAAATATTTTACTGCAGCCTAAAAATTAGAGGCAAATAAAGTATACCATTGGATTATTCGTATTCTTTGCTTATTCTTGCTTAACCAACAAACTTGAAGGCAAATTTTAAGCTGATTCCAAGTTCATTCATCTGTACCACCAATTAAATCAAACAATGAGACAGAGTCAATGCATGCTTCTCAAAAAGATAACGATTCGTGTTCTCTTGTAGTTTTATTTCTTATCCGACAAAATTGAAGGCGCACTTCAAGCTTAACCGAGTAAGCAGTAATATATCTATCGCTATGAGACTTTTCTACTCTCAAGTTACACCAATATTTTAGACTTTTAGGCGGACTGGGGTCAAATTATTGTCAGGTCTATTCAACATTATCACGAACAATCATGAAGTTTGTATGTGATGAACGTACAAACAAAATTCCGCTTTCGTGTATGATCTGACTGCTAACCAAAAAATTCAGCAGAAAGATTTTAATCTCGTCCAATAAAACTGAAAACCACCTTCCGGCATTAAGCCGCATGACTAATTTTACTGTGAGGATGGGGCTTTCGGGAAATTCTGCGAAATTTTCCTTTTCCAACAGACGGAGGGACAAGTTTCAGACGGCCACAAAAAGTCTGCGAGAAACAGATACTGGAGAAAAACAAGCCATAATGCCAAGCACCGGGAGACTCAAAAGTGCAAGAAGTCTCTTACCCCTTCATCCTGCTTTTTTGATATTTTTATCTGTATGTCGACACAATTTCGTCAAAAGTTAGAAGTAACTTGTTGAATAAGTCAGATTTATTTCAGGAAAGAAAGTCAAAATATCAAATCCACGGTTTTTTCGTTTCAGTTGTAATGTTGAAATGATTGTGCGACGCCAGATAATGAATACCACTATTTTAACTCCTGGGAGGCCGTATTGCCTACCTCGTTTATTGAAGGCGAATCGAAGTTCAACGTGGTTTCGCACTTCAGCCATCAGAACTGGTTTTTACTTTCCGATGTTTTTTTAGTACCTGTTGCATACCCACCCCTCGAAAATATGCTTTATATTTTCCGCAGCTATATGTGAAATTTCATTTCATATTGTTTATTTCACCTGTGTAACCCTGATTCTCCCCCCCCCCCTCAAAAAAAAAAAAAAATAAAATAAAATAAAATGAAAATAACGCGACCATCATTATCATTTGGATTGCTTTTTGCAAAAAAGGAGCAAAGAGTTTTCCGACTTACATTCTTTGCAATGAAATGACTGAAATCATGCAAAAAATTAAATTTACAAAGATAATTCTCGGCTTTAATCTATAGTTTATCAGGAGCAAAGATGAAACTTCTTCAGGTGACCAATTTATTTCGCACACTGGAAAAAAAAACACGCGCGAGGCGTGATCTCCCAATGCTCCGTTCTATGATAATACTGAAGTATTGCGTCTGTTCGGGTCGAGATACTTAAAAAATAAGGCCAATTACGTCTTGTCACTCTTTGGCTGTGTTGCTTACGTAGTTTTTGAAACGCCACCACAAATAAGAAAAACGGAACAAACACAACTTGAAGATACAGCACAGGAGAGGATGCGCGACGATGACGGCGCAGAGATACAACTGTACGTACTTGACGGATGTGCGTGTTGCGTGTGCTAAATTGAAGGCGCGATGGCGGAAGGTGTAAACTCGCAATATTCCGCTCAATCAATTGGTAGTGAGATACCGCTCCAGCTCGGCAGAAGGTTAAAAAACGAGGCCAGATTACGTCTCTGCTATGCATGAAAATTTCGGGTCCCGACGAATTTTGTCATTTTTACTGATCAATCTGACTTCATCAAAATAAAGATTTTGTGACAAGCGCAACTAGCCCATTGTACTTTCCCTAAAACTGAAGATCATTTCTAGCTGAAATTTTGACCGATTTATCTGCTGGTTGAACTCAAAAATCAGTACATTTGGGATGGGAATTGCTTAGTTATTATGTTGTAAAAGGATTGAAAGGTTCGAGTCAGTTTTACAATTCAGAAATGAAAACATGAAAAAAACAGGGGAGAAACATGGGAAACAAGGATAAAAATAAAACACCAAAAATTCGAGAAGTTTGGACATAATACAGTTATTTTCAGTCTAAAAATAAAAGAAAGTTTATGTAGTAGTTGAAGTAAAATTTTCTTCAATATTTTTTAATATTTTATGTATTATCCGATTTACGAGAAAAAAAAAAAAAAAACACATTGGATCTAGAGTCCAGACTCTTAAAAACATCGACAAGAACAAGTACTCTTGATTCAATCGGATTTTTGCTTAAATCAAGAACCAAGCCTCTTAATTTGAGCGGATTTCCTTTTGATTTAAGCCTAAATCTGCTTGAATCAAGAGTCCTTTTTCTTGTCAATGTTTTCAAGAGTCTGGACTCCAGATCCAATGTGTGTGTTTGCAGTGCATGCAAAAAAATTAAATTTACAAAGATAATTCTCGGCTTCAATCTATAGCTTATCAGGAGCAAAGATAAAACTTATTCATGTGAACAACCTTGGAAAAAAACATATTGGATCTAGAGTCCAGACTCTTGAAAACATTGACAAGAAAAAATACTCTTGATTCAATTGGATTTTTGCTTAAATCAAAACGAAATCTGCTTAAATTGGACATATTTCTACCAAACAGACCTATGTGGAGGTGAGAAATATGGGGTGTGCTCTAGAAATCTGCATAAGAAACAATGTAAAAGTGGGCGTGGTTCCTTTTGAAGAATTGGAAAAGCGGGATATTGCATTCTATCAAACAGACCTATGTGTCAACTGGATGCGGAACTCATGAGCCCCGGGCATGGCAAGAAAGCGTTGTGGACAGGGCTCATGAGTTACAGCGCCCCGACGATGATCCCCGGCTCGGGAGTGGTCTTCTTCATTGCCGCTGACGTCACGGGCGCTTTATTATTCTCATTCACTCGCCACGCAAGAGAAGTAACGAGCACACCCCATATTTCTCACTTCCACATAGGTCTGTTTGGTAGAAATACGTCCAATTAAGAGGCTTGGTCCTTGATTTAAGCTAGATTCTGATTGAATCAAGAGTACTTTTTCTTGTCGATGCACTGAAAAAAAAAAAAAAAAAAAAAAAAAAAATNTGATCAGCTACACTGGAAAAAAAAAAACACATTGGATCTAGAGTCCAGACTCCTAAAAACATCGACAAGAAAAAGTACTCTTGATTTAATCAGAATCTAGCTTAAATCAAGAACCAAGCCTCTTAATTTGAGCGGATTTCGTTTTGATTCAAGCAAAAATCCGATTGAATCGAGAGTATTTTTTCTCGCCAATGTTTTTAAGAGTCTGGACTCTAGATGCAATGTGTTTTTTTCCAGTGTGTTTTTAAGATTCTGGACTCTAGATACAATGTGTTTTTTTTCCAGTGTAATTTATTTCGCAAGGTGGAAAAAGTTGCACGATCTTAGCGAAATCGGAATGCTCGCGGTTCTTTTTCGCGAACCGGAATTCATTTCTCCTAGAGTCCCTTTATACTGAGAGTCAAGACAATTTGAATCCATTTCTGATTGGTTCCCGTATTTTAGGCCTCCACAGTGTCACAAACGGGAATAAAGATTACATTTTCATCAACTGCAAAGATTATAATCTGGAATGGACCAGGGAATCACGGGTTTGGCAAGGAACAAACGGAATGAGAGGAGGAACGGAGAAAGGCATTTGAGAATGGGCCGATCAAAGATTACGAAAAACGTTCAATTTGTGTAATCTTTATTCCCGTTTGTGACATCCATGAGCCGAATTGTCTTGACTCTCAGTATAAAGGGACTCTAATTTCTCCGAGGCACCCTGTGGCCACGGGAGCATGGCAGCGCGATATCGTAAATTGCGCGCGGAAGTAAAAATCGAGTTTCCCGGGGTATTTAAAACGCTCGCCCGCTCAGCCCCCGCCCGCGACGAAGGCGAGCCGAACGCCGAGGCGCAAAAGACGGCGAGCGAGCGAGCGCGCCGAGCAGAGGGATGATTATTTATTTAAATGCGAAGCGGAATTATAACTCGAAGAAAAAAGACGTCTCGACGACTCCGGGGGCCGCGGCGGGGGAGGGGGAGACGAAACCGGGGCCGGGAATCCGAGAAACCGAGTCGGAGGCGGAGTTGAAAACGGAAAAATACCCGATTCATTGCGTCAGGCGGCGACGACTCCGGGCGGCCAATCAGGGCGCGGAAACCGCCCGCCGCGCCGCCCAATCCGCGCGGTAGCGCTCCTAACCTCACTCCTCATTCGGCTCCGGATAACAGCGCGGGAGGGGGACGGCCCCGCCGGACAGAGACAGTACCAAACGGAACGCAATCCACACCGTGTCTCTTTCTCCGTTTCCAAATCCCATCATTCAAAAACCACCCCTAGCCCAATTTTTTATTAAAAAAAACTTAATTTTCCCCAAATTTTTTTCTTGATTAAACAACAACAAAAATTAATAGAAATGTGGTGTTTAGGTGTTGGATTATAAGTAAGGTTAGGTTTGTTGTTCTCTGTGTGACTGCTGTGCACGCCATCTATTTGTAATCCAACCCCCCGCGCGCCCCGGCCGGCCCGCGCGCGCTCTCGCTCTCTCTCTCTCTAAATTCTACAACACATTGTCCCCGCCCCGTTTGAGATATATTATTTTCTCTCGGCTCCGTTTCGTTTCTCGGTTTCGACTCGTCCCACTCTGTTTGGTTGCTCCTCGCGGCGCGGTCTCTCGTCCCGGCCAATTCGGATTGCGTTTCTGCCCTCCGCTGCGTGTTCCTTCCACTTCTGTTTCGCTCGTTTTTTCGGCGCCGCGACGCCTTTCCGGCCCGCCCTCGTCTCGGACAATCCCCCAATTCGGTTTCTCGATTCGGTTTCGGAAATTGACTGCTCGACCTAACCTCGAAAGGTTGGATTCTCAAAACTGTGCTTTTCAAATTGGTGTGTCGACTTTTCGGTGACCGAAATTTTTCGGACCACGTGACCGGTGTATCATAACCAAGTGCGCGTTGTTTATCATACCTTAGTGCAATTAAAAATTATGTTTATTTTGTGTTTTGAATAAAAAAATAGAGAAAAAAACAAGGGTTAAGTTTTGTTGCGAACAATGTGGTGTGAGTGCAATACCAGTGCAAACTAAACTCTCGTGTGTTTGTGTGCGTGTAATGGATTCTGCGATGGATTCGTCGGCTTCCACCAACAGCGACCGGAGCTCCAACATCTCGACGTCCCCGCCGCCGGCCATCAAGACCCCGGTGACCCCCACGAACAACAACAACACGACCAACAACAACAACACCATCACGAACAACGGGCAGACGAGCCCCGTGTCCATGGTGCGTCTCCAAGAGTCCCCGATCTCCGGGGGGCACCACCCGATATCCCAGCACAGCCCGCCGCCGGTGTCCACCCCCAGCGGCATTGTCTCCATGGCCAACCGCATGGGTCATTCTCTGCCACCCCTGCCGCCCCCAGGGTTGGGGTTGTTGAACTCCTTGGGGTCCATGGTCCACCACTCGCCGCTGGACCTCATGGCTATGTCCCACCACCACGTTCCACCGCGGAGCTACAATTCGCCACCCCCGATATCCACTTCGGACCCCACGGCCAATGAGTGTAAACTCGTGGACTATAGAGGTCACAAGGTGGCGGCTTTTATAATCCAAGGCGACACGATGCTCTGCCTCCCGCAGGCTTTCGAGCTGTTTTTGAAGCATCTGGTTGGCGGGCTCCACACCGTCTACACGAAGCTCAAGCGGCTGGATATCGTGCCCCTGGTGTGCAATGTGGAGCAGGTGCGGATTTTGAGGGGGCTCGGTGCCATACAGCCCGGGGTCAACCGATGCAAGTTGCTGTCCTGCAAGGATTTCGATGTCCTCTACAGGGACTGCACTACTGCCAGGTAAGCAATGCTAAAAATTCCTCATGTGGAGTGCCAGGACGTTTTCCTTGATCCCTACAAACCCTCGACCAACGGAGAAAGAAAGTTCGGTTCAAATTGAGCACCGAACTTTGTCGGTGTCTATTGAGCATCAATCTTTTTCGGTTCAAATTGAGCACCGAACTTTCTCGGTGTCTATTGAGCATCAAAATTTTTCGGTTCAAAATGATTCGAGGCTGTATTTCACTTTTTCGGTATCTTAGTTATGTCACCAGTATTTAAATTTTTGTCCAGATTTTTACAAAGCGACGACCCAGAGAAAAAGCGGGGAGAATGTTGAAACAATGGTTAGTTTTGCATTTCATATTAAGCACTAACTCTTTTCGGTTCTGGTAATTGAAATGTTTGGTGGCCGAATCTAAAGCTTGATTCAGCTTATCGAACTTCGGTTCCTTTGACCAAAAATTTTCGTTACCTGAACCGAGGAAGTTCGGTGTTCATCATGCGTTGAAATCCTATCCTTGCAAGCGATTTTTTTTCTCGGTGAAGCACTCGTGTCATCTTTCGTGAAAAAAAGTTTGGGTCGTAATTGAAATACCTAAAGATAGTAGATTCATCCAAGAATTAAGGTTCACCCATTCTTGTTCGAAGAATCATGAAAATTCCCTAGCAGAGTTCTCGGTGTAACGAGAAATGAAAATTTAGGAGTATAGGGCAAATGATATGTCGTGAAGTAATTATTTTCGGTCCATGAATACTTGAAGGTTTTCAGTCTTAGTTTTTCTAAGCCGATGAAAAATTGGCTGCAATTTTCAAGCAGGTTTGAGTGCGAAGGTAGACTTGTCGCAGATACAGAACGGCAAAATAATGAGATAATTTCGGCGGATTTAAATATGTGTTATACTATGTAACGGTGCTAGCATAATCACAAAAAAAGACTAAAAAGATCGGATTGAATTATGAAGATTAATTGATACGTAAAATTTTTGTATGATCTGAAGAGCTTCTCGTTCCACAAAATGTTTCCCACGCCGGGAAAAGAGTATAGGCATTCTTAAAAACCATTAATATTTGTGCGTAATAAATGAGTTTCCAGAACAGATTTTGGGTTAAAGTAAATATTGGACCACAAGTAACAATTAAATTAAACTTTTTTAGTAATAAAAAAAACACAAGCAGTCACAAAAAACCTACATTTATGTACTTTTAACTTTTTAGGAGACATGACCGTAGTCAAATTGAACTTTCATTAAAAAGTTGCAAACATCGTCTTCATAAACCGCAGCTATTACTTAATTAAATTTATCGATTACCGCTCTTGAGCATTTGGGAATCGCTTGACATAAAATTAATTTAATAAAGTAAATTTCGCGAGGCTCCCTCAAATTTTTAAAATTAAAAGGAACACAGACTCCTATTATTCAAGATCATATAGCTGTTCTACGTGTCAGAATGATTTTCTTCTAAACAAATATAAATAGGAGCAAAGTTAAATAGCCTTTAGTCTCATTAAATAGTTGTTTAAAATTAAATTACATTTAATTCGTCCAAAGGCCGAAGCGTCATTTAAAATTTTAAGAGGCTATCTCAGGGAATGGTGATGACTTTGTCTTGTCACCATTTGTAGTAAATTTTTCACCTCTTTTTCAACTTAGAGAAAAGTAAAAGAAAATGTGAGCCGGAAGAAGAAGTAGGAGAAGAGAAAAAAAGTTCAGATATTGCAGTAAATTTCTCTATTTTAGCGTAGTTTGTAGATTTCTGAACTGTTCGAATGAAATAGTTAAAACTGCCCATACTTTAGACTTTACACGTGAAAAGTTAGATATTAAAAAAGACGCAGCATCTGCAATTGCAACTACAATAATTCTTTATTATTTTTATAAAAAGAGAACGAAACCCTGAAAAGCGGCAAGAAAGCTCTGACGAAGGGCAGAACTTTCTATATTCTCATTTTCTTCACATTTGATCTTTTTTCAGAGTTCAAGTCTCTGATGAGGAGCTTCTTGAGGGTGTTTCAGTTTCAAAGACTCAATATAATTTGCAATATTATACATATGGTGAACCATAAGTAGAATTTTGAAAAAATCTTCAGAGAAATCCTATTTTAAAATTTTGCATATGTGTAGTTTAAAACTTCCCTTATTAGAAACGAGAGGAAAAGAGAAATACCAAATGGTATTTCTCTCACAGCCTAACTTTAAAATTTTCTTTTTTATGGGTTGCTTCAATTAATGACTGCATTGAAAATAAATCAGGAACTTAACAGCATGATCAAATAAATAGTTCTGCCGCGTCAAATATTTGCAAGTTCCAATGTTCATCGTTTTGCAACTAGATCAAAATGTATGAAATGCACTTTATTGGTATATTTCGTTTCAAAATAATTATTATGAAGGAACAAATTGTCTTTATCGTGTGAGTCAGCGACAAAATAGCTTTGTCGGATATTGTCCTCCATGCCCGATGTTCTGTTTAAGAAAAAAATCGAATATTTTTTGATCGCGCGTTGAAAAATTCTTTCCGAGCCGAACTCCTAGATACTTATGTTAGTTTCCGATACTATCCATAAACAGCAGAGGCATATTCTGATTACCTACCAAATATTCTCAAAAGATATACCGAACATAGTGCAATTCTAAGAATAATTCTCTAACTTTCTCACGTGAGGCAAATTTTCCGAGCCCCTAATTGCAGATTTTCGATGAAATTATTCAAGAGAATCTTACTGAAAATAGTTGTTTGTAAATATTAGGATTAGTTTAATACGCGGTAGAAAACGCAACCCGTAATAGTGGCTTGGGGGTAACTTATCTCAAAATCGCGAAGGTTTTCCAAAAAGTCCGCTCGGCTTTAATTTATAGAATCACTTCTAGAGATTAATTCAGAGAATCCAGTTGTTTTATCAAGCAGTATTTCCCCGTTTTCTATTCTCTTTAATTCATCCCACCTAGCACATGTTTCTCAAAAAGCTTAAGTACATTGGAATCCACTCGGAGAATCTATTTTAGCTCGAAGGGTTTCCCAAAATTATAACGTAATCTCTAAGAAATTTACGAAGAAAAGCATTATCGAAGTTCAGTTTGATGCGCAGCCTCAAAGCTCTTTCACAAGGTTTTCGACCACCAGCAAAAGTTTCAGTTAGGTTTCAGTTATCATTTGAAGACCACAATTTCTGATGAAGTGAAGATGCTTTTAAAGATCAATGCTATGAAATTAATCCCATCTCTCTCCTCAAATATAAGTTGCATGTAGGCTCGATGATTTAAACTTAAAATGTATCAATTATAAAAAAGTAAAAGATAACGAAATAACACCAAACCCTCTCTGATATGAATTTTATGAGACTTTTCAAGGCTTTCTTAAAAATAAATTTTAATTTAAAAATGATCGTAAAAATATTATCTTATTTTTTTTTTTCAACGAATGAAGGGGGAGGAAAATTTTTAAAATCTTCCGTGATACAGCATCTAAGAGTTAAAACATCAATGTTCAGTTTAGTTTTATTAGACCGGTTAAATAAAAAAAGAAAGCATGAGCTAATGCCTCATGAAGCATTCATAAAATAATGATTGCAAAGTTTAACATTTAATTTTTTTCTTCTCACTTTTTTCTGCACTGAAAATTCCACTTTGAGTATTTTATCAGGATTGAAAAATCCCTTACATTTTAAAAGCAAAGCTGCAAAAGGAACGAGTTTTTCGCGGAATAATTGCTTTTATTCAGGATTTCAGAGTCTCATCAAAAGTAGCTTGATTTTCACATGAGCATCAAGGCGCAAATTTCTCAACTTTCACTAAAATTAGCTTAACACTGCAATTATCGTAAGTTATAGGGCATTCCTAAAAGTTCGTCCGAATCGGATTTAAGCGGACCTGGAAAATCTCGGCCAAGAATTTCAGTTGTTATGACATTTTCTTTTACCTGAGATTATCAGATTCAGATGAATGTGAGTGCTCAAATATCCATTTTCACCGAAATGTACAACTATAGAATTACATGAAACGTGCGAGTAATTCAAAAAGTTCAGCTGCGAATCGGTGTTAAATTGATCCGGGAAATCCCGTGAAAGTTCATTCTCGTAAGCCTACATTCTAAATTCAATTTCTTATGATTTTTGCGTTTATCTGAAATTATTAGGTTCTCACATGAGCCTAGGAGCTTTTAACCACACTGGAAAAAAAGGTATTTTGGATCCAGAGTCCGTAAATCCATACTCATCAAAATTTGAGAAGAAAAAATACTCTTGATTTAATCGGAGTTTTGCTTGAATCAAGAGGAAATCCGCTGAAATCAAGAGACTTGGCTCTCGATTAAAGTAAAACCTCAATTGAATCAAAAGTCTTCTAAAAAATTTCTTGTCAACAATTTTTTTTTTTAATAATTAATGACAACGTGTATTTTTCTCCTGTAATCACAATAAAATAATAAAACACAAAATTTAAGAGTCGGCTTCTGGATCCAAGAGACTTTTTTTCAAGTGAAAAATGCGCTACACAACAATCAAACCACATGAAACGTTGGGGGCATTCCCGAAAGTTGTGCCGAATCGGGGTTAAATTGACCCGGAAAATCCCTGGAAAGTTCATTCTTGTGAGCTTACATTCCGAATCGGAGGGTGAAGCACCGCGGCGTTCGGGTGGTGGCGATTATCAGATAATTCCCGGAGCCCACAAATCGGGTATTTTGTAACAGCCTCAACACAATCGCCCTCCGTTCACACCGCACTCCGCGTATGATTTCCCACACTCCGAGACCTCACCTCAGACTCAACCTGTTACTTGCGGCCACTTGGGAGCCACTTCATTCGGGCGCCCAATGATATCCCTCCATTCGAGGATGAAGTTTTGTAAAAAACAACTTATGTATCATTAACTCGATGGTTTTCGCCAGAATTCGAATCTCGCTCTCACGTTGTTCATACACTCGGTCGATTCTGTGCCTCAATCTTAAACGAGTACGGGATTTAAGCGCAAGACTGTTTTTTACGGACGTCTTAAACGATGTGTGCTGGTTTCCTTAGC